TTGTGGGTCCACGTCCCATGTCAGGCTCAGCGCTGCTTGGGATTCTTTCTTTCTTCTGTCTGCACCTCCCCTGCTTGCTCTCTCCCTCTCTCTCAAAGTAAATAAATAAACATTGAAAAAAGTAAAAAAAACATTCTTAGTTTGTGAACCATATACAAACAGGCTTCATTTGACCTGTGGGCCTTTTGGCTAACCTCTGAAAAGCCTTGATTCGAACATCTTAGATGCTTACAGGGAGGCCTGGTTGGCTCAGTTGGAGGGCAGGACTCTTGATCTTGGGGTGGTGGGTGTGAGCCCCACATTGTGTACAGAAATTACTTAAAAAATAAAATCTTAAAAAGAGAAAAAGGAGAGAATCTTACGTGCCTACAAGTAACTGTAATACAAAGCAGATATGTCAATGCTATTTAAGAGTTGTACAAAAACAGGTGGCTAGGTAGAATTTGGTCCTTCGCCAGCAATGGCATCATCATCCACACAATTATGAAGGATCACCCTCAGTACAACCCTCCCTCTGTTCCTTATCCCTTGTATTTAACCTGTCCTCAAGTTCTGTCCATTTTATCTTCCAAATATCTCCCTAAGTGGTCTGCTTCTCTCTGTCCCATGCCATACTCCTATAAAACCATCAGCATCCAAGACTTGGACTATTAAATTGCTAACTAGCGCCTCTAAACCCATCCTCATCTGCTTCACTGCCCTACTAAGGAGGTATTACTTCTACATCTTATTTCTCCTCCCCTTCCTTCTCTTTTTCCCCTCCTCTCACTTCTTCTCGTCTTCCTTTCCCGTGGCTTCTTGAACGACTCAATCCTAAACCACCTGCAGTGTAGGAGGACATGGGGAGTTCAGTGGCCCAGTGTGTGTGTGTGCAAGCCTGTCGGGGGGGTGGGGTGGGGAGCAGACTGTCCATGTGGGGTAAGAGTGTGTCCTGATTCAGGGTGTCAGAGCCCAAGTAAGCTAAGGAAGACAGTCCGGGGCAGGATGGCCTGGAACGGGGTGCAGGGCCGGAGCAGGAAGGAGCAGCAGCAAAGATGGAAGATGAAATGTAAACACTGGGACTGATCAACTAGGTAAGTCTATTGCAAGGATACTGGATGCCGTCTGCGAAGGAAATGACAGTACAGAGAGAAATGCAAAATCATCCCAGCGATCCATGGTGTTAGATGGAGTTTGGGGATATAAGTAAAACCCTAATTTCCAGTAGGTAAGTAGGTAGATAGATATAGGTAGAGTTGGAAATGTGATTGTGTGTATGGTTGTGTGTCTAGGTGTTTGTGTGTGCTCCTTAGCTCCGTCTGCAGCTGCAACAGCCCAGTTGCCACGAGCCCATCTCATGTCCAGATCTTCACTCTAAGTACTACTTTCATGTAAAAAACACCCAGGACTCCTCAAAGTATTGGCCGAATCCAGGGCTAGGTAGAGAAAATACAAGATGGGTCTATGACATCTCGTTTGTCCCCAAATAAGGTAATACTCAAAGCAAACAATAACAATAACAAAAACAGCAACAACAAATGCTATGAATAAGTGGAGAAAACACATGAAGCCAGCTTGAATGGGCACCCATATTTTTAGTAAGGCGCCAGGTGCCTATGATGCAAGTATGGTCTGTGAACTTCACTTGGACCTGGAACCACAGGTCCAGCCTCTGAGTACTTCTTTCTTCTCTTGTCCCATTTTTCATCGTTTCCTTCTCTTGCGTTGCATGTGCTACAGTAGTTCTGTGTTGGCCGACCTGCTTTCAGATGATCAGGAAGGTGGGGAACTGTTTGCAGAGTCTTTTTGATAGAGTAGGATTATGTGAAAAGCAGAATACAATGGGCTGGAGAACAGAGAGGGTCAGAAGCAGTTGAAGAGTTTGTTCTTGAGAAGATGGGGGGGGGGGGGGGAAAATATGTGCAAACACACCGGGAAGGTGTGAGGTGGGAGGTGGGGCCTTCTGGGTCCAGGATCTGGAGAAGCCCACATGATCAGGAGTGGAGACGGTGGAGGGAATCCCAACATAAGAGACAACATGGATGGATCTTGACGTCATTATGCTAAGAGAAAGAAGTCAGAGAAAGACCAATACTTATGAGCTCATTTACATGTGGAATGTAAAAAAAAAAAAACAGAACCCAAACTCACAGAAACAGATTTGTGGTTGCCAGGGGGAGGATTGATGGGAGAGAGGATGGGCAAAATGGGCAAAATTGGTAAAAAAGGTACAAATTTCCATATATAAAATCAATAAGTCTGGGATGTAATGTACAACATAGTTAGTTAATAATACCGTACTGTAATAAAGCAAGGGGATTAAAAGGTACAAATCCTTAGTAATAAAATAAGTCACAAGGGTATTATGTGAAGCATAGACAATACATCGAAAATATTGTCACAACTTTGTGTGATGACAGATGGTGACTGCACTTCTGATGATCACTTTGTAACATATATAAATGTTGAATCATTATGTTGTACACCTGAAACTAATATAATATTGCATGTCAATTGCATGTCTATTAAAAAATACTGTCCCTGACCTCAGCTCAGTTCTCGATCTCAGGTTCGTGAGCTCAAGCCCTGCATTGGGCTCTGTGCTGGGTGTGAAGCCTACTTAAAAAAAAGAAAAATCATGGTGCACCTGGGTGGCTCAGTCAGTTAAGCATCCAACTCTTGGTTTCAGCTCAGGTCATGATCTTAGGGTTCATGAAATAGTGCCCTGCATCAAGCTATGGTCTGATAGCACAGAGCCTGCTTTGGATTCTCTCTCCCTCTCTCTCTGCCTCTCTCAAAATAAATAAACACTAAAAAAGATAAAAGCAAGAAAAAATAGATGAAGAGGGGGGGTCTGCAGTAAAAAGAGACCTAGGAAATATATCAATTCATCACAAAATTTGGGTCTTATTTTGGTCACAATTCAAACAAATAAATGGATAACATTTTAGGAGAACCAGAGAAATGTGAACACTGAGTGTTCAATGAAACAAAGCAATTATTAATATTTTAGGTGAGATATCAAAGATCAAATAGACTCCATTCGGTTTCATTGATCTATTGGTCTGTATTTATTGTCAGTACTATACTGTATCGATTACTATAGCTTCATTTGACTTAACAGCAAACACAAAAAGTTTAAGTCCCTAAATTTTTTTAATGTTTATTTTTGAGAGAGAGAGACAGAGCGTGAGCAGGGGAGGGAAAGAGAGAAAGGGAGACACAGAATCCGAAGCAGGCTCCAAACACTGAACTGTCAGCACAGAGCCCGACGCCGGGCTCGAACCCATGGACTGTGAGGTCATGACTTGAGCCGAAGTTGGACACTTAACCGACTGAGCCACCCAGGTGCCCCAAGTCCCTAAATTTTTAAATAAGATACAAAACACAGGAACTACAAAAGAAAAAAAAAGAGCTATATTGGATTTCAGGAAAATAAAAACCTCTGTCCTTTGAACACCACTGTTAAGAAGATGAAAAGATAAGTCACTCATCTTCATGGTGAGAAAATGTTTGCAAAACACGTATCTTAAAAGTGAAAAAGGCTACAGGCCAGAATATAGGAATAAGGCTTACCACTTAATAGTAAGACAAACAGTCCAGTTTAAAAATGGGGAAAAGGTTTGAACAGACCCTGAAATAAAGGTGATGACTAAGTCCATGAAAAGATACTCCATGTTATTAGTCACTAAGGAAAAGGAAGTGAAAGCCACAGTGAGATGCCATTACATCCTCACTAGGATTAAGAAGAGAGAGAATATAGGTGCTGTTGGGGAAGGGGAGGGACTGGAGCCCATTTGAATTTCTGGTGCAAATACGAAAGTGTAGAGGCACTTTGGAAACATGCTTTTGTAGTTATTTATAAAATTAAACATAAAACCGTCCCTATGATCCATCAACCCCATTCTCAAAGGAAATAAAATAGACACATACCCAAGGTTTATAGGAAACTATTTACAATGTAATTCGTTCATAAGAGCCACAAATCAGGAACAATCTAAATGTCCATCAGTTGGTGACAGAATAGACAAATTGTGGTCCATCCACACACTGGCATAGGTTACTGAGTGATAAAAAGAAGCAAACTGCAGTTTCCTGCAACAACATGGATAAACCGCAAGAGCATTTTGTTAAGTGGGAGCGGTCGGGCCCTGGAGAAGAAGTATGATATGATCCCATTTGTGTGACATTCCTGAAGAGGCAAAACTCTACACCAGAAATCAGATAATGGGAGTCAGGAGCAGGGGGTGCAGATTGATTTTTAAGACAAGGGAACTCTTTGGGATGGTGACAATCGTCTGTATCTTCATTGTGATGGTGTTTGAACAACCATATTCAAGTATCCAAACTCACCAGGCTACACACTTTAAAAAGGTAAATGGTATTGTATGTAAATCATAACTCAATAAACTCACTTTAAAAGCTAATGAATAAAGTGGAACGGAGCACAGATGTTCTATATTCTCCTGTAACTTTCCTGGGAGAGTCCATTTATGTGTAAGTATTTTTCATACGCCTTAAAATGATTCATATCTGCCTTTTGTGTTTCATTGAGGCCGTGGCTAGAAATTTACCTGGTGAGGAAAGGAAAAGCAGGAAGGAAAAATGAGAAGCATTCTCAGGTTGGATACTTGAGATTAAAACCTGAAAACAGTGTCACACGAAAGGAGTCTGACCTACTGAACAACCTTCATGATGGTGACATTTATGAGGGCCTCACCCTTTGTTGACTAAATAAATGAAGTAGGAATGTTCCAGCTGCCTGTGATGGCCACTACATATGCGGTTTTAGATTCTACAGGGAGTACTCGACACAAGTAGTTATAATAAATTGTAAATTGTAAAGCAGTGACTTCTTACAGGAGAGGCTTTATCTGTAACCTTCAACTCTCCTTCAAGGCTCCCTCTTCATTTCCGAGAGGAAAATGCACTACCTGAGATCTTGGGGGAGAGGGGAGGTCATGGGATGCTTCCTCTAACAGAGTGGGTCCCCAAAGAAAGAAATGTTCGACACAAAAGAATTTCTAGTTATTAATAGTTTATTACTGCAGTGAGGGAAGAATGGCCTGAGCAGCCTTGAATCGGATTATCCAGCCTGGATCTAGAGGACATCTTGGGTTTCCATCCAGTGAGTGCTTGTTAAATGTTTTAGCTTACAAATGATGGGTGAAGAAACACGGGTGTCCCGGAGCGTGCCTACCTAGCTCTTACCCTGGGCGCTATGATTTGATAGCTCTCATTGGAGCCCTGGGGCTGGTTAATTTCGGATCTGCGCTCATATGTTAATTTAAGTCGTCCACCCTCAGTGTCCGACTTCATACTCGCCTCTGGTGATGTGATTCTCTTCCACAGCTTCATTTACCACCGATACGCTGGCAATGATCAAACTCCTCTGTCCTGAGTCAAGAACCATACATCTGACCGATGCCTGGCACCTGCAGGGGAAAGTCCCACAGATCTGAGCATAACGTGTGTAATTGCTGTTAGATTCCTTATCTCGATAGGGAAAAATCCGTTATACTATGGATGAGAGGACTGATAGGGGAACTCCAGACTCCCCTTCCGGGTTTTCCTTCCCACCCGGCTTGCCTCATGAACAGACTATCTAAACTGTCCCCTCTGCTGATGCTCTGGGCCCAGACCTCTGGAGAATGATCTCCTCTGAGCCCCCAGGTGTAAACTAAACCTCCTCCCTTCCAAGATCTCCGAGTGCCGCTTGGTTCTTCCTCCGGGTGATCCAGACCAGATTCCGTAACCATCTGAGTGATGGCTCAAAGATCAACCTCATTACAAAAGTCAGAAAATTGAGATGCACTTATCTCTCCTCCCTTTCTTTGGCCCTTATATTCCATCTGACTCCAAACCCTGAAGAGTCTAACACCCTTCATATTTTAAACCATTTGCTCCCATCCCGGCCCCTATGATCTCTTACTCAGATGACGGCACAGTTCATCCACCTAATCTTCCTGCCTGTGCTGGACATTTGCCTTTTTTTTTTTTTTTTTTTTTTTGGCCTTTCCAGAATCTAGCTCCTTGATTCCTGTTTTGGGGATCTTCTGCTTGTCCCCCAATATGCACTCCCCTCCTCCATCCGAACAGATCTTAACTCACTATTTGGCCACACAGAATCCTGACTTACATGTGTCGGTTTTTCTCACAGCGCGATGTGGCTAGTCACCAGGCTCCGGAAGGTGGCTTCTGAGAAGTGAGCTATGCAACTTGCAAGTTGGGCCCTGAAAAGAAAGGAGCACGCCGCCTCATTTTATTTTCCTTCTTCCTGCGGCTGGGATGGAAAAGCGATGGTGAGATTGGGCAGCTCTTTGGGACCGCAAACAGAAAGTAGGCGGGCTGGGGCCCCGGGGGGCTCAGTGTGTTAGGCCTCGACTTCCGACTTCCAATCAGGTCATGATCTCACGGTTGGTGAGTTGGAGCCCCGTGTCGGGCTCTGTGCTGACAGCTCAGAGCCTGGAGCCTGCTTCGGATTCTGCGTCTCCCTCTCTCTCTGCCCCTCCCTTGCTCATGCTCTGTCTCTCTCTCACTCTCAAAAATAATAAATGACATTTAAAAAAATCTTTTAAAGAAAGAAACAAGGTTGGATTGTGGAGTCAAAATACGGAGGGAGGTTGGGCCCAGCAGAGGCCTCGTGGAGGACACACGAGGGAACAATAAGGTCAGTCTTGTTTAAGTTATGTGAACTCTGACCTTTGTTACTGTAGGCCAACCAGGTACCCTAACTGCCTAGTGTTTATGAAGTCAAAGTGGCCAGTTAGCCCACGTAGCTCCCTAGTCCCCCAGGGCACGGGCAGATAGAGGGGCGACGATCCCTCACTCCCACCAGGCGGTCAGGCCCCGTTTGGCACAGCAGTGGCACCGATGTCCTGCCGCATCAAGGTGCTCTGGGTCAAACTGTTCCAGCCCTGAGACAAAGGCTGTGCTTTCTCCAAATCTCCTTTGCCCCTGCTGCTCTCCAAGCCTGCTCTTCCGGCCTCCTGATAATTCGATGCACTCCTCATAGCCTTCTGATACATTCCCCGTTTTGATTTCATTGAGCGGCACAAGCGTGTCTGACTTGCAGCAACCACAACATTCCAAATTGAGGCGCTGATTTCCAAGTTCACCTTCTTCCAGAGAAAGTGCAGCCCTGCCCATGTGGTATTTGTAAACGGAGGTGCAATCCTGCATTTTCCCTGCTTAATACCCCTCAGGGATTCTTTGGCAATTCTTTGGTCAGAATTCATTTGATCAAGATAACCTCCCCAGTGTAGTGTGTGAGGCCTTGCAGGATGTGGCCCCAGCACTGCTTCCCAGGTTTCTCTCTTTGTGCCTGTCTCTAGGTCCTGTGCCTCATGTTTGGCGGAACAAAGTTGCTGGGGCAGACACAAGGTCCACCTCCCAGCCCCTCCTTCTTGCACCTGCTTGTCAATTCTCATTCAAGAGGCACCTTGGGGTTCTCTGCTTCCATAAAGCCTTCCTAACTCCCCGGGGCCCGGTGACCCCTGGTCACTTGATTGCAAGTCTGTTCTTTGGGCTGCACACTTCACCCCCCTTGTCCATGCTTCTGTCCCTCACCGTGGTCTCTTCTCTGTGCTCACCTGTCTCCATGACTTGCCTTCCCATCTTATGTTATCTATTCTTCTGTTTCTAGCATCTCTTCTACGATGGGTGCGTAACATACATCTTTTAAAAGAAAGTGAATCATCTTGCTGGAAACCATTTGAAAAGTTTAAAAATAAGTCGGTAGGTGGCACCCGAGTCTTTCTGTTAAAACGAGCCTTTGCATTTGTAGTTTTGGGTTTTTTAACCCACACTAGCCAGCAGGTGGCGCTCTCCGACACGAAAGCCCTTGTCACCCCTGGAGTGTCTCCCCTCCCTACCCGCCTCCTTTCCTTCCTCCCTGGCTTCTAGGAAACCGTGGATTCGTGGTTTGTCATAATTCATGTGCGTGCACATCTGTATTAAACACCCAAGTGGTCTACACCCGCACCGACTAGTTCCAGTGCCACTTTGCTACTCACTGCCTGCACCAACAAGACTTTGCTATCCCCGGAACTCTTGCAGAAACAACTCGCAAAATGAGACCGTTGAATTTTCTGGTTGGTGGGATCAAACAGCTGTTTACTCCTCAACACTCTTTGACGCCCTTGCTGTGCACTAATCCTAAATTATTACCATATCGTAATGCATACCAGATCCTAATTAATTGGCATATTGAAAGGCCCACCTTATACCAAACCCCGAGGCGTCATAAAACTCTCGACTTTGCCCTGTACCTTGAAAACGGCTGCTAGAACTTAATCTAGGTAGTGATCTCCCCTAAGGCAAAAGCACTCAGCTCAATTTAGCTGCTCAGCAGACTGTTGTGTTAGTCTCTGGGCAATACGTATAGGCCTGAGCCTACCAGTGCTCTCCAGGGCTTTGCTCACTTGAAATGTCCAATTGAAGAGACAGAACCTCAGGCCCCACCCGAAGCCTAGGGCATTGGAATTTGCACTCCAGCAGGGGTCAAGGTGATTCTCCTGCGCAGTGAAATCTCAGGGGCATTGCTCTTAAAGAATGACCTCAGTCTCTTCCAAAGAATGAAGGCAGACTAAAAGTTTGAAATGTAAAGAACGGTTGTGTTTTTCTTCTGCTTTTAGGTGATGTTTAGTTAGTATTAAAACCACAAAATGGAACAAAGATTTGGATTCCAGTCTGCCTAATTAGGAAATTCTTCAGTGATGTCTTAGATTTGCTTTAAGAGGATCGGTGGGGTTGGGGCGGGGGTGGGGGGAGGTTGGGGAAACATATTTGCTGAATTCATTTAAGTCTTTTGTTTTTTCAGACCCTCCCTTCCTTCTAGGGCAGACCTGAGATGCGATGCATGTAAGGTGTATCAATATATGGAGCCGCGGGCTGGCACATTTAGACACAGAGCTTAATTCCCATGCATGGTGTGCACTCAGTAACATTTAGGCCACTGTTGATAAAAGAGATTTTTCTTCAAAAGATATTTAAAGTCTGGATTTGTTATTTACATCGTACTCCCTTACATGTGACGTGATTGACCTTCTTTGAGATGTGAGTCCCATTTGCCTTAAAGATTTCTGCTCCTATACCGAACAGATGTAATGGAAAGAATAAGGTATTTGAGATTGTAAGACATAGATTAAAATCACAGCTCTGCCATGGCTGTGTGATGTGAGGCTATTCACTTAACCTCTCTGAGCCTCGCTTTTCTCATCCTAAAACGGGGAGTGTGTTATCTTACACACGCAGTCTAACATAGGGACCAAGGGACATGAAGTTTGTGCTAGAAGTTCTATACACCAACCTTGGCGCTTTTGGTCGTTTGTTTTAAACACACCACCACAGCACTTACGTGTTATTGTGTGTGCAATAACGGGTATTAATGAAATGGTCGATGCATTACATCACTTCAGCCTCGCTGAAAACCACCAACGCACTGTTTTTCTTTTTCACCTTGTTCCTTAATGAGCTTGCTTCCCCAACCGTGATCGGCGTTGTGCTTACACCAAGCTTGTCCCCAGATTCTTGCACAGAGAAAAGCAAAGGCGAGCCCTGACCACGCTGCCCCTGAGGTATTAAGGTGTTGAGAGAGACTAACTGTGTTTAGTTGGTGGGTTTCAGAGCCCGTCCTGAGCCTGGGCCATTGTGAAAGCTTTGAAAACATTAGCTGACGATATGTGTAAATGATTTTGTAAACATTACTACTAGTAGCTTTGGGTGTGACTCTGTCGCAGAGAAATAACTCGACAGGACTGAGTTTTGGTTCTGTCTTGACTGTATTGTGTGGTAAGCTTGGAACCTCAGAGTCCTGGGCCAGGCTTGAGTGCTGACTCAGCCGTGATTCGTTGTCTGGACTTGGGTGACTCCGTTAACTTCTTTGGACCTAAGTTTCCTCATGTAAGCACCGGGGTTGGAGTCTAGGATGCCTTTGAGCAATAGAGTTCTCACATTCTGTGGAACAGGCCTAGGTGGGTGGCTGGAGCCCAGGGTTGTCCCAAGGACCCACTGGCGGCCCCAGGAAACAGGATTGCTCTGAGACCCGGAGCAGCCATTGACTGGTCAAGTAACTCTGGAAAGGAGCAGATGATACTGGAAAAGATCTGGATTTTACAGGGATGTGATCAGCCCATAAAATGGCTGCCCTCCCCATCAGCCCCTCCCTGCCCCCTGCCAAGTTCCTCTGTGAATGTCCTTATTTTAATATCTAGACTAGAGGGTCTTCTCCGGCTCCCTTTTCCAAATGATCCTTTGAACCCCCATAAAGATTATCTTTGGGAAATGCAAATAAGGTCCATATCACTCCTCTCTTTTAAGTTGCGGATAATCTGTTGTTAATGGTTTCTATTTGTCGTGACACTTCATGCATTGAGCATCCGGCCCCAGTTTCACATTTTACTAATTGCCCTTATCGCTGTCTCCAAGGCTTACCTTCGCAGTGTCCCCAGAGCACTTCTAAGTGTTCTTCCAACGGGCCCTGAGCATTCCCAGTGTCCCGGCCATTTCCACATGCTCTGAATTCTAATGGAAACACACTTGCTGCCCGGTGAACTGCTCTTCCTATTTCCGTTCTACCTCAAGGGACATCTCTTTCAGTCGCTTTATTGCCTGTTTCCCTTAGTTCCCCAACTAGCAGATGGGCCTCAGCGACTGTAGGCACCTGGATTTACTCTCCTTTGTTTCCTCAAGAGTGCTTGGCACAGGCCCTTGCGTTTGAAAGGGCTCAGTCAATGATTGTTTACTGAACAAATATTCTCACAAATCGAGCCAGGAGGTACCTTCATCCTTTCTTGATGCACCCACTGGACTGTCCTTTTGTGGATTATTTTTGAGGTTTCCCCCCCCAATGTTAATTTTGTTTTTATTTTTATTTTTTTATGTTTATTTATTTTTGAGAGAGAAACAGAATGCAAGTGGGGGAGGGGCGGAGAGCGGGAGACACAGACTCCAAAGCAGGCTCCAGGCTCTGAGCTGTCAGCACAGAGCTTGACACGGGGCTTGTGAACTGTGAGGTCATGAGCTGACTTTGGACACTCAACCAGCTGAGCCACCCAGGTGCCACTCCCCTCCCCATGTTCATTTTAAAATATTTCATTAACAAATTGGGGGATAAATCCAATGCGTCCAGCAAACATTAAGGATGGGTTTCTCAAGAGTGGAAGTGGAGGGTTGGAGGCTTGGAGCCTGAGTCAGGGCAATAGGTGGAGGTGGTCAGTGTGACCATTGTGCTCTGGACTTCTGTTTGAAAAGGTCCTTCAGGAG